CGACCTTCAGCTAATCCCACGTCGAGTGCTCCTACTTCCACCAATCCAATCCAACAACAGATGCCCCATCATCGTTGCCCAGCAGTGCTCCATCGGTGCTACCTAGCAGTGTTCCCTCTTATACTCCCAGTGAATCACCTGTAACAGATAACCCGACAAGCTCCAGTCCCACAACTGTTGAGCCTACAACGGCTATTCCTTCAACCATGTTACCAACAAAGGCCCCAACGCCTGAGCCTACCAACCAGCCCACCGACCATCCAACAAGTGCTCCAAGTAACCATCCTACACCACAACCTTCTCAGCAACCCACCAACCCTCCAACTGAGCAACCAACTAGTCCACCGACAGAACACCCAACCAATCCACCTACAGGAGAACCCACTCCACAACCAACGGACCAACCAAGCAAGCAACCAACGGACCAGCCTTCCAAAGAGCCCACTGACCAACCCACACCAATTCCAACTGAGATGCCTCAGGAGACGCGTCATCTGAAGAACAGGAATGACATTTCTACAATTCGTGGATGTTTGCACTGTGGAAATCCCGCAATTCGCTGTATCAATCCCAAAAAGTCAGGTTTGTCACAAGGCATCTCTGGTTTCCTTGAATGCACCGACCTGTCTGGTCCCTGTGTTTGGGAAGGTGAAGAAATGCCTTCTGCCAGAGAACTGACCTTGATGTTGTTGGATGATGAATATTATGATGGGGTCTTTATAGTCTTCATGCTGGCTTCACACCAACAGAAACCATCTGATGAATCCCTTGTCCATGTTTTCTGTGATTCTGATCTTGCATCCACAAATGGCTTTTCTGAGAGAAGCAGTTTAAGTGAGAGTTTGATCTTGGGTGGAGGGGCAGGAAACATTGGCAACCAGCTATTAGTTGGTCCCTTTTCAAAGAGCAACCTGCCTATTGAAGTCTGTTTTGAGTTTACAACGATGCAGAATATTGACAGGTTGCGTGTTTTGAATGCTGAAGATGGCCTAGATGCGGATGACCTTTTGGGAAGAGTTCAGAACACTGAGCTATGCATCAGTATTGTGGCGTCTGAATACAGTGTGGATATGCAGCCCACGTCTTCCAGTCAGGATAGTGCATCAGAGATTAGTCAAGAAAAGACTACAGACACATCTGAACATGGCAGTGAAGGGGGCATTGACAAAGAGGTTGAGTTTGATGAGAGCTTGGAAAGTACAGGTGGCCTCTTAATTCATGCTCTTGTCATTGTCTGCTTTGGATTGGTGATATGGATGGTTCACTGCGCAAGAAAATGGTTCCAGTTCTGAGGAGACAAGGTTTCAATTAGTTCTGCCGATGTATGCAGTGTCCAAGTAGTATGGTACCTTACTTGCTGCCTGGTGATTTCGGCAGAAGAAAGCAACTTGGAAGAACTTATTGTCCACGACTTTGAGCCTGTATATTGCTATTGTAGAATTATTTGTTCGCTAGTTAGCAAGCTAGTAATAATCTGTCGGCCTGTCGCTACAGGGGTAGAGAATATCAATGTCATCCCATGCTCAACAGTACTTTTAGATGTGGAGCCACTGCTAACGAATGTTTCACGAAATACAGCACCTATACTTTACAAACGGAGACCGTGATTTTAAAGAGGATGTTCATAACTAAGTAAATTCGCCAGATTCCACCAAGCTCTTCTTCCACTCATACATCCTCATCTTCACTTGCACCATCATCACTTTCAATGCGCTGACACCACCATGGTACAAGACGATTTCACTAAGCTGTGCTCGAGACATCTTGACTACCTTCCTACACCTGCCTTCTGTTTTTTGGAGTTGATATAGCAAACATAGATTCAGGCTGCCGAAGGCATGAGCTCTCAACGAGTTTGGAATGGAATCATGTGGCTGACACGTGTGGCTAGCTAGCTAGCTAGTACTGAGCTGCTACTGCTGCTAGCTAGCTAGTAGATAGATATATAGCCCATTTCTAACTAGATAATAAACAGTTGGCTGCTTGGATAGCTATCTAGCTTGCCAAGATATTAAGCTTTACTAGCTAGCCAGGTAATGAATAGTTGGCTGCTTGGGAGCTACGGCACCAACTAATTACCAGTAGCTACTCTAGCTAGCTGGCCAACCACCATCTGTTCGTCGTTTGGGTAGGCTACAATTATAGTGTTGGAGCTGAAAAATGTGACACACAAACAAACGAACCAGCACACAAATAGAGTAAATACATAAGAACCATACAAATAAAATTTGCAATAATAACTCTAAGCCAAGATGAGGGTTAATATTCTGTGTTTGCTGCATTATATACTTCTGGATATAGCCATGACATGTCCCATTTAATGGCTCCATTTTTCGTCCAACCAAGCTGGGGTTTGACAAAGCTTTATCTAACTCAGCTGCATCTACACTATCAGCAATAGCACATGGCCATCATTGATGTTTCAAACGTGTATCGGCTTTTGACTGTGCAAGGCAACTCCAGAGAACCTGATGACAGATGACGAGTCAGCCACTCAACGTTTTCTTAATTAACGACCCTAGGGGGAGCCACTGAGGAGCATGAATTTTTGCAATAAAATTATTTTATTAAAATACAAGGGTTAGAGATGAAGAAGGAGGAAGCGCTGGAAACCTGGCAAGCTAGATCTAGCTAGCTAATACTATCTAGCTAGAGCTCTAGTATATATAGTAGCTAGCAACGAGATAGAGCACCGTTTCGTGTTGGCAAAGCACAATCGTACTATTTTACTATATATCCCCACAGTGGTTTGCATAAACGGTACCAAATTCCTTTTCGAATCGTGAATTACTAGATTCCTACAGTACTTTTAATAGTAAATGATGCTACATGTACCTGTAAACGTGTTGATATGCATGACACGAATTACTTATCTCCTAGCTTGACTAGTGACAGTTTATGAGAATTCGTGGATGCGTACTGTACATTGTATAGCAAAAATGGGGAGGGGAGCAAAAGCGGTTGTATGCAGGATTCGAACTAACGACCTTATATCTCTTGTTAACCAGTAAAAATCGTTTCCTGCACAGGCCTAAGTAATGGTGACCTTTGAAACATGCATCGAACGATCTTTTGTGTTCCGTGAAATCGCCAAACAAGATGAATCCTGCACAGAGTGAATACGTATAGTAAAAGAGTATAAAAGTGTGACTGCACATCTTTGTAGATTCGTACAGTAAAAGATATAGTAAATTGTTCTAAGGGGTGCAATTGGCGTGCTTATGCAGGATTCGTGTTTTTTGGCTTATGTCTTTTCCCCCTAGTAATAATGGGAATCCTGCACAGGAGATATATGCCTCAATTTCGAATCTTGCATTGAATATTTGCGTATAGTAATAGTGTACGTTTCAATAGTTCTTGACACATGTGCTTCCTCTGAAGGCGTTTCAATGCATAATAATAAAAAAGGAATAATGTAATATATTTACAATCAATGGTACAGACGTATAGTAAAATAGTAGTATTGTGGTTTGCGTTCATCAAATCTTACTCCTGCGGGTTTGTCTAAGTTACTACTAGGGGTTATACCAATCGGCGTGACCAGCTTGTTGTGTTGAACCAAAGCAACTGAATCGATCAGTGTGGGATCAGCTTGATTGCTTTGTTGCATTGGACATGCTAACGTGGGGAAATACTACTTGAATAGAGGGATCTTGTAGAGGTAGCTACCACCCAACGAGATCAACTGCAACTATTCAAGACGAGTGCAAGGTAAATGCAAAGTTCGCTTCTTAGTAATTCATAATCTGTGTTGTGAGCTTTGATTGATGCGATCAGTAAAGCTAGTTGTAGCGTGTTGGATCAATACATCGTGGTAGTTGATCTTGGTTCATACGGAAGTCAACGTGGTATCTGCGGGAAACGGTTCGTTGGCAGGATGCTTTACTCCTGTCGAATACTCCAATTTACAGTGTCCTTTTGGTTTCGTTGAGAACGTGTTCTTGCCAGCGTTCTCTGTTCCATCGTGTTGACTCATAAAACATGAATCAATCTACTCACGGATACTCTGAGTCGTGGGAGGAACTGTAACGCTTTCACTCCCCTCAGTGGCGACTGTCGACTCTGAGTGTTTCTTACCGCAATCCTTGGTATCTCCTGACCAAAACCATGATGTTCGGAGAAACGAGACGGTACTCAACACCGCCTCGATGCCACACTCAAAGATTAAAAAACACAATGCGCTTTCCTACCACCGTACTAGGAAGCTGTTGCTGCAAGTATCTTGAGATTTCATCATATCCTGGATCTACTAACCCTGCAGATATCCTCAGCAAACACTGGGACTATAATCGGTATGGCCTATGCTGATGCACTACTG